GGCGGTTCGACGCGGAGGTCGTTCGATACGATCGATTGTGTGGTGTTTGCCGGAATGTTGGCGATCTCGGTTGTCATCGGCGTATATCAGGCGTATAAGTCGCGAAAGAACGAGGACGCGGTTCGCGAGTACTTGGTGGGCGGGCAAAATATGTCCATCTTCCCTATAACGATGTCGCTGATAGCCAGGTAATAGGAAGAAACGATCCGCCGTCGATCCTCTTCGTCTCTTCCGATCAATTTTCTTCCGTCTTTTCAGCTACGTATCGGGAATAACGATCCTCGGTCTACCGGCCGAGATGTACGTCTACGGAACGCAGTACTGGTGCGTGATAATCGCCGATTTGTTCGTCTCGTTGACGATGACCATGGTGTATCTACCGGTGTTTTACGGTCTCGGAATCACTTCGTCTTACGAGGTAACGCGGATACCATTGCTCTCGTCCTCTACGCAACGTCCATTCGCTGATCCTTTTCTTTTAATTTCGCCGATTCGCAGTATCTCAACCTGAGGTTCAACGGCGCCGTTCGACTCATGGGTTCCGTCATGTTTCTCATAAAAATGGTAAGATGCGGCAAGAGCTGTGTGTGTGTGTGTGCGCGCGCGCGTGTGTGTGCGTGTGCGCGCGCGCGCGTGCGTGCATACGCGCGTGAGAAAGGAAGGACGAATTAAAGCGAAACGTTTGGCGTTTCGTTGCAGTTGCTGTATATCCCCCTCGTGATATACGTTCCCGCGGTGGCGTTCAATCAAGTCACTGGAATAAACCTGCACGCGATCGCGGTGCTGGTCTGCGTTGTTTGCATATTTTATACCACTTTGGTAAGGACGAGGATCGTGCCATTTAATCGCCAACGACGAACCGCGTCGAGAGAGAAACGTGAACGAGCGTGTCTCTGTGTTTTTCAGGGTGGCTTGAAAGCGGTTGTTTGGACCGACGCGATTCAGACGATCGTCATGTTTGGCGGAGTGATAGCCATCGCGATAATCGGCACGAATCAAGTAGGCGGATTCGAACAAGTTTGGAGGAGAAATCGCGACACCGACCGAATCGAATTTTTCGAGTAAGCAATTCACTTGTCTCTATCGTACGACTGCTCCTTCCTTTTGCTCTTCCTATCGTCCGATCGACAGTATGAACTTGGATCCAACAACGAGACACACCTTCTGGACCGTGGTCGTCGGTAACTACTTCAACTGGTTGGCCAGCTGTTCCGTCAATCAATCGATGGTGCAACGATGCTTGGCCATGTCCAACTTGAAGAGGGCCAACGCGTGAGTCGTCTCTATCCTTTTTCCCCCCGCGGACCGATATATTCCTATCTCGTGTTCGCTGAGATCCGTAATCTTCCCTTCTTTAGAACGATCGCGATCATGGCGATCGGTATAATTAGCATCGTTTCGCTGAGCTGCTACACCGGCATCGTCATCTTTGCGGCGTTCTACGATTGCGACCCTATCCAGACCAAGGTACAGGATCCATCTCTGCCCCTTCTTGCTTCTTCTACCAAATACAGCGAAACGAATTCACGCGTTACAGCGAATTAAAAAATCGGACCAACTCCTACCGTTTTTCGTGATGGAGATGACCGAGTCGATTCCAGGACTGCCTGGACTATTCGTCGCGGGAGTGTTTAGCGCGGCTCTCAGGTATATTCGCACGTAAACGTTTGAACGTGTTGAGAAAGCGAGAGAAAAGAAAAGAAAAGAAAAGAAAAGAAAAGAAAAGAAAAGAGAGAAAGGGAAGAGGAAGAGAAGCGCGAGATCGTCGTCTCTGTTTACTTTTAGCACCATGTCGACCGGATTGAACTCCATGTCTGGCGTCATCTACGAGGACATGATAAAACCGTGGCTGCGAATATCTCTATCGGAAGTAGCGGCCAGTCGAGTGATGAAGCTGACGGTGCTGTTGATGGGGACCGTTTGCGTGACGCTCGTTTACCTCGTCGAGAAACTCAGCGGACTGATTCAGGTAGGAACGGCGCGCACGATCGACCCGTGCCGCGCTTTCTATTCGTCGCGAGTACACGTGGGCTCTATCGCGTTCTCGTTTCGTTGTCAGGCTGCCAAGAGCTTGTCGGGGATCACGGCGGGACCGTTGCTCGGAGTCTTTACGCTGGGCATGTTTTTCCCGCTCGCAAATTCCGCGGTAAGATAAACCTCGAAACGTTTTCTCGAACGTTTGCGCGACATTCCCGTCTTTACCCGAATCGATGACGTCGCAGGGAGCGTTGGTCGGCGGATTCGTTAGTTTGAACTTGGTCGCTTGGATCTCGTTCGGCACTCAGGCGGCCATCTCCAGCGGAAAGATTCGTTTCCCGATCAAGCCAGTATCCATCGACGGATGTCCGGAATCGCTCAAGAGTCAGGCTACGAATTTTACGCTGGTCGTCGAAACCGCGATCAAGTGAGAAAATAGTCGATTCCTCGGTCGGCCGGCTAACAGCCAGCCGCTTTCCACCGTCGAGACTCTCGCGTTCTACCTATTTCCAGGGAACCGCCCTTCTTCCTCTACAGAATGTCGTATCTTTGGTACACGTGGCTCGGCTGTCTAACAGCGATACTCGTCGGACTGCTCGTCTCGTGGATCACGGGACCGAACAAACGCACGCCGGGCGATGAGAAGCTCTACACGCCCGTTATTCACGGTCTGTTGCGCGATTCGGTCGCGATCGCCGCCAAACGGCAACAGGTACGACCTGGTCGCGCTTCTCGTACCCGATACACCTCGTTTTCTCCGTTTTCTCCGTATTTTCAGGAGGGCGTCGTCACGGAACTCGAGAAAATGGACGGAAGCTGTCGCGCGACCACAGCTTCCAGCAGGATTTAAATGGTTATGGTCGTCGTCGTCGTCGTCGTCGTCGTCGTCGTCGTCGTGCAGGAGGCGTTACGATTTTCGCGATTAAAAAACAGACAAAATAAACGCAAAATAGAGATGTACAGACGCGTGTGTATATATGTATGCATATATATTGTATAAGGTAGAGACAGATATATACATATATGCACATATAGGCACACAAGCGCGAGCATACGTACACACGTATATTTTTTTGTATTTTCCATTTACAACCTTTGTACAAAGAATAATTACAAGCGTAGAGGGCGTTCGTCGAGATTGGGGTAAAAGCTACGCAAGGAGGAAGCGAAAGGGGAAAGTAGAGAAGGAAAAAAAGTATGCGGAAGAAGAACACGGCCACGGTTTCTCCTACCATTTCGATCGGAGACTATGGATTCCGTGTCCGTGAACGCCACGATCCCTCTTCTTTCACCAATGGCAACGCTTCGTCGTTTCTCCGTCTGCTTTTAGATTTCACCGTCGCATCGAGTTTCCTACCGCTCGTCGCGGTGGTAATCCCGCATCGTGTCCCACGGGGCAACACGGGACGACGATCCATTTCGTATCCGGATCTATCGCTCGCCCGACACTCTGCCGTCCGACAGACGTGCGGTGTCGTAACCGACGATCGCGTTTCCGTGTTTCGCCTCGACTCTGGAAGGCGACCACGGTTTAAGAAGCAAGTGGCGACAAGCCGATAGTTCTAGGATCCTGTTGACCCGGTTGCGCCGGTGGCACGGGTTGAGGGCCGGTCTCTAAATTCTTCAAAAGCTGATTCAACCAGTGTTTCGTGGATGCGTCCTCTTGCAGGCAAGTGGCGAACGTGTTGTCCCTCAGCTGATCCGGTAAACACTGTCTGAGCGCCAGCAACGCCCTATCGAACGACAACGAGATAGTTAGTTTTCGTTTCGTCGGTTCGTTGGTTACGTTCGCCTCCTTACCTTGGATTGTCCGACAGTCTGAGATAACATCTGACCACGTGCTTCAACAGCCTGGCGGAAGGATCTTTGGCCAAGGATAACACCATCTTTCCTAAAATCATGGCAACGTGACTGAATCGATCGTACGTTTGGCAGATGTAGGAAAGACCGCTATCGTCGAGCAAAATCTTCTGCAGGATGAACGTAGCCACCGTCTTGCTTAATTCGGAGCCGCTTTCCATGATGCGTAAGCAAAGCGGGATGATCTCCGTAGTGAGCAAGAACGTAATCACCTCTTGCTCGTCGGTCTTTACCAAAGCTCCTATCACTCCCAAGCTGGTCAATCGAAGATACTCGAACGGACGGGTCTTGCTGACCGTGTGTAGAAACGGATATAAGAACAGCGGCACGTGAGCCTGGAAAAGGAAACGGTCGAGGAACGAGGAGTGCGCGTGTATGTCTTAAGCGTTAGTACGCGCGTCAACTCACCTGCAGAAACGAGGATCTGGTTTCCGGGTGACTGGCAACGCACTGCAACAGAGCCAACGCGTTGCACACTCGATTGCTCTGATACGCGGTTAGAGTGGCCGGATTGATAGCCGGATATATGTTTATTATCTCTTGAAGCAGCGACGCGATCGTTCCGAACGAATGCCAAAGCATCGGAGCCAAATCGGGCACGACCTCCCGTTTCTTGCTAAGTTCCAGCAACGCGTTCTCCCTCGTCTCCGAATTCGACAATTCGATTATCCAGGCGTAAACCTTCTCGCGATCCACCGTCGACTGCAACGCGGCTGGACTTTGCTGCGAACCCATTTTCGTCATCGGACTTTCGGGGCAAAGCTTTCACGGCGCGACCGTTATCGCTGCGATCGATCGATTCCTTCCTTCCCTTATTTACGCCTTCCTCGTCCGGCTACGAACGTATCGTCGCGATCCTAACGAAACACGTACGATGTGCCGTCGATCGACCGGTTTCGTCGCCAATTCGAAGCAAACTTTGAGGTTAGGTGAGACAAACTCGCACGATGCGATCGGCCAGAAATTACCGAGCAGCGAAATTTATCGCGCCACGCGTCCGCTCCTTTCTCGAATCGATCACGCGACACACGGACGGCAAACACGTTCGTCTTCCAGAAAACGAGCAAATATTTTCTTCTCGAGACATTCGTCTTCTTTGACACCGAAAAACGATACACCTTCCTACCGCTTGCAGCTACTCCGAGTTAACGACGTACGTTTTTATCGCCATCTATCGAGAACCGGAGAAAGCTTTCGCTCCACCTATCCGTATACGCGCGTATCGACGGTTAATGCGCTTGCATGCTACATACGCGTTCGCATAGGGCAGCGCGTCGATCAGATGGCGCGCAAACCGACGCAGAGAGACGATTTGTTCGCGCGACGACAACGATCTCGTACTCGGCGAACGATCGCAACAACCGGAAAAATTCCAACAGCCGAACACGGACAATAAACGAGGATGAAAGCACGCCCGCTTCGCCCATTCCGAGCATCGTGTTCGCGCGGAAATCCGCACCACGACGATTCGACTCCGATTATCGAGCGTTTTCTCTTTTTCCACGCCCGTTTCTCTAATTCCAAGCGATTTTGTATTCTCCGCCTCTCTTTCGATATTCGGGATCGCGCGAGCTTTCGATCCATATTTGTCGCGTACGTTCGTAACGAATACGTACGTTGGTATCGGTACGTGACTCGGCGCGTGTTTCCTATCGTTCGAACGTATCGCAGGAAGGAAGAGGAACGATAAACGATTTCGCGAATAGCGCGTCGTACGAGCATAGATAGAGAGGAACGCGTGGTAAGGGATGGTATAACGCGATTGCAGTCGACCGATACTTTGTTGCAACTGTGAAATCGAAACGCGACAAGTCGCAGACGTTTGTAAGACGATCGCCGTTTCGGTAAACTCGTCGTCGTTTTACCGACTCGAGTAACGCGTACACCAGTTTCTCTTACGTAATCGTGTTCGCGCGAAGGATAAAAATCGTGGTTTGGAGCGCGGGTCGTAGCTACCGTACGCGCGAGCATCGTTACGTCCGCGCTTAAAAGGCGAATAGCAAAGACAATATTGCACGAGACATCGCGGCAGAAGCCAGGGTGAAAAGGGCATCTGCCAGTCACAACATGCCAAACACTGGCGATAAATTCGAATCGTTTGCGTCGCATCGCTTCTACGTATTGACGCATTTGAAATCGATTTGCGTGGAAGCGGAGAGACTTGGCGGCGTGTTTCGATCGATCGGATGGAACGCGACCCGACAGCCTCGTATCTCGTTCCCTTGAACGAATTTTTAGATTCGTGGAGTTGCTGTTGTAACGGCTACGGTCAGGCTACAGGCGGCGTGTCGGACGAGAAA